AGTATTTCAATACATTTGTTAAAACTTTGTTTATCAGTACTACCTAAAACAAAACGTTTCAGTTTCTGATGCCCATTTATAGCACATTACTACTCACTTATTGCGGGAATAAAACTAACAGTCACACCTATAAATAAACGCGATAAMSGAACASTTACATTGGAACGGAAGCAGTACTGTCTTAATGGCTTGTGTTCAGAATCACTGCACTTGGTAACGCACCCTGCGTTTCTGACTATTGTGAGATTTAGATTATATTTGAACAAGATTACATCATATTTGTACCTGTAGTAACAATACACCAACCATAAACCATTTCACGCCCTGTCTGTATATAACATTAGAACTAATGTTCCATGATATCAGACAAGAACACATCAAAAACTGGTATTTGAAGATCTCATGACAAAGAAATCTGCATGTGGCGTCTACACAACAACTACGTGGAATTCACCCTGCTCAGTTTCACTTGATTCAACAAAGTTATCACAAGTTAATATTTTTTTCGCAGTCTTTTGAGACGTTTGAGGATTTGAAAAATTTCGGGTTTTCCTTCAAAGTAAAAGTCTTTGAAACATGGATGTTTTTGAATGTGTTGACRTTGGACGCTTAGTACCCAATAGAAATGTTCGTGACTGGTCTACAAATCGCGACGAAATGAAAGACCTGTAAATATAAGCTAACGCACAAATACCCATATCTTAAAAACAGTCATTTAACAAAAAGCTGAAAATATATGTCCACGAAATATGCCTTTTCCAATTTCGCAAAATGATGTCCTCGCCAAAAATTAGTGGCTTGAATTTTACTACTGGGCAATCACACACTGTTACCAGGAGAATTCATGGCCGATGCACTTGTTGTTGTCGTGAGGTCCTGCATCGACTTTTTGCGAAGAATGGGGTGCTCTTTCATTAAAGGYCTGAGCTCGAGTCCTGCCGTCGGAATGTTTTTTCTTTCTTGTTTTTTATTTGCTAATCTTTTAATCTTTTTCTTATCTTTTCTTCATGTCTTTCTCTGTGGTATTTATTTCTCTCTTCATTTTCCTATTTTCCATTGGTTTGAATAAGAAAGGAAACAGAAGACTTTGATAAATTCAGCTGTAGCGAAAAAAGCCAACAAGATTCCAAAGAGATAAAATCCTGATTCCTAGAGTGACATGTCACGACCCTATTTTCATTGTTATCACAAAACGAAGCAAACGATCTTTAAGTTTCTCATTAAGATTTTATTGTTTGATATATTTTGACAAGATCCCTTAGAATAGACCTAGGAAAGGAATAGACTTCATGCGACTGTAACCAGAATCCTCCTCGACGTCCTCGCCAACCATCTCTCCGCCGGACCCCCTTTCGAACTMGGCGCCAAAACCGCTGTCAGATTCKCTGGTGTTAGACCTGGTAAAGTTGGTAACACATGAGTCGTAGGCGGTCTTATTCAAAAAAGGGAGAAACTCGTTCCAAAATTCCATTTGACGAGGTCGCAGGTTGCTTTTTACTTTCAGATKSGGTTCAATTGACAAATATTKTTTCGAGTTTAGATCGTATTCAGGCCAGGACTCTTSACGGCTYGGTGTATCATACGGGTAAGGATCTCTGCAAAGAACAAAACAGAGTTGACTTAATCAATGGTTAGTGATGAGTTGGAATAAGGCAAACAGTATGTATAAGAGAAGCTCTTTTTCTCTTTATTGACGGGCTATTTTTCAAATTACACTGATTCATACCCAGTTTTTGCAAAGTTTGACCACATTTCTATGACTTTTTTGGATATTGCAACATCGGCTGGTGGAGGATGTGATGCTTTCAGTGGAAATCCAAACACCATAAACTTCTCTGTTTCATGATAACCCTTTAAGAACGATGGATGTGTAAAATACCCATCCGACATGTCAATACCATGGTCCACTTGATAGAAAAACACTTTTGCACCGTTTTTGACAAATGCATTTGCGTGATAAATTGATGGAGCGATAAACACGCTATCTTTCAAAAAGTCAAGAATCATGCGTCGGTTTTGACGTGTTTTGTTGAGATTGGACCACGGAGTGTATTCTTGAATAACAGCCTTCTTGTAAAATGGGAGGAAACRTTTAGAACTAGCCAAGTGGCTAACTACAGGTAATAGAGGATTGATAACATCAAGAAAGAATTCTCTGGTTATGCTGTCACTTTTAATGTTGATATAAGGATTCGATAGTTCTAAAACAATAATACAAGCAATGTCAGTAGACACTGAGAAAAAGGATCAATAAGAATCGAAAAAAATGCAAGAAAAGAGATAAATAACATGAAATGCTGATCACCAGCCGTTGATGCTATAGACCAATCTCGTACCCAGAGCTCCCCTTGGTCTTCGACAAAGAACCTCGGCTCTGGAATAACGAATACCGGAAGCCAGAATCAGGCTATTTCACCCATGCGCAGTAGAAAACCGATCTAACGGCTTTATTTGACTGATTTTACTCAAGAAAATTGGCTTTAACGGAAGCCTTCGAAGTCAGAAAGGGGATTTATTAAATCTTTTAAGATTAAAAATGATAAATCTATCTTATCGGAAGCTTTTTTGACATCCATTATAATCAGACAGTGTCGAGATTGCACAGTAAGAGGGGTAGGGCCGCTGGGTACCAATCTTGTACACAAAGCTCGCGCTACTTTTGGTATGTGACAAGAAACGAGAGCTTATGTAGCAGACCAAAAGTAACAAGGGCTCTGAGTACCAGATTGGCTGGGTACGAGATTATATAGACTATAAACAATTAAATGCAAGAAGAACAAAATGACAAGAATCAGCCATTATTTAAGATTTGTACTACGCAAGGAAAGTAACAAAGAAAATCATATAGTATATTCATCAAAATAATACTTTTTAATAGTCTCTCGTTGTGTTCTGAAAGTTCTCTAACTAATTGTGCTCGTGCAATTATGAAGAACTTTCCAAACATTACTCGTGACTATTAATTTCAAATTGTACTCAAGGTCGATCGATTTCTTATACTTATATACCCGGTATGGCATTGGTCACACACGATCCATCATCGCTGGCCACGCCTATCATAGTACTTTCGGGATTTGTGAAGTTTCCTTTGTCAAGCAAGGTATGTGGAGAATCTGAAAAATACAAAGAACTTTTAAACATGCCATCAATTGTGAATGAGACTTCTGTCAACTGGTACAACATAACGAATTGAAGGACTCATATTGAATCAT